GGGAGAGGGAGAGGGAGAGGGAGATGAAAAGAGACGGGTCGCGCAGGAGCGTGAAAAGGTCCTGACACTTTAAACCAGAAGCGCTAACCAAGCCCCAAAATCATCGATGGGCTGATTTTGGCGGCTTTCGGGCCCCTTTGCAGCCGCAGGCGAATCAGACAACGCCAGATGCAGAGCAAGACGAGGTGGCCAGCGAGACTTCGCGAGTGGTTCCTTTCAGGGATTCTTGCAGGGTCGTTGCCATTCACTCTCTCGCTCGTATACCTGTTTCCAGAAAGAGCAATCTCATGGTTGCTGTGAAGACCATGACCACTTAAACCCTGAGCCCTAACCAGTGCATGTGTTGAACTTGGCGGTTCTTCCGGCCAACAAGTAGCTGACTTTCTTCTATTGCAAGGTGTTGGATGGCGGTACGCTCAAATCCTGAACCCCCGACCCTGAAAGCCTTAACCACCCAAGCCCAAACCATTCTTTGGTTAATTCCACACAAACTGTAAACTTAAACCTGGTTTTGCACATGGCGACGTTTCTCGGACAAAGGCGTTGTAAAGTGAACTAAATTCGTTCAAACCCTGTATCTGCACGCTCATCTCCCGAAAAACTTTAAATGCTTGGAGCCTAGACCCTAAAACCCTACGCCCGCCCCTAAACGGGTTTCGGGGGGCTGTTTGGGGTTCGGGGCTTCTCGGCCGGGACCTTCAAATTACCCAAACAGCCCTCCAAAGCTGGAGTGCCGGAAGCAGATCAGATCGACCTGGGTGCAGTGGTGCTAAATCCCTATACCGTAACCCTAAACCCTAAACCATGCAAAAGGCTTCTATATCATAATGGTTACTATAAGGCTTTTGGGTTTTTGATTCTTTCAAAGCTCCTTCCTACTAGGCGCTTTTGATATGCTGGCGGCACCTTAAGATTAAGGCTTAAGGCAGACACAGCAGGATGGTACCGGGTTTAGGGCTTAGGGTTTGGGTTCAAAAAGGGTTTAGGGCTGTGCCCATCTTCTGAAGGGCTTCAGCACTTCGAGGCCTTGAAACCCGGAGCCAGCCAACGCCGGCAAGAGCTGCGGTTTAGGGATCTAGGGTTTAGGGTTGAGGGTTCAGGTGTTGGGGTACAACGCTGGTTAGAGTTCGGGCTTTAGGGCTGTGGGCTTCAGGGTTCATGGGTTTCGGGTTGCCTAAAAACTAACCATGAAGCCCTACACTCAAGGTCGGCTCAGGGTCAGCCCAAGCTTCGCACACGAAGGCCGGCGTCATTGTGGAGGGTCTATGTGATCCGGGCTTTGGCCCATCAACAGTCGTGCTAGGCGTGAATGGTCGTAGTTAGGACAGTCAAACCCGGAATGCAATGCCCCCTCAGCCCTAAGCCTAAACATTGAACCCTCATCCCTCCGCTACGGTGCTGTTTCTGAACCCTTGGGCAGGTGAGGTGCCGGCTTCTCCAGCAGATACAGCGAGGAGAGATTTTCCTACAAGGGCTTCGGGTTGGAGCCAAAGGTTTGCTCAGGCCTATTGTGCACTTATTTGTAGAACCCTCAAAACCCTAAACCCTAAACCACCCTTCAGGCAACAAAAGTATAGCAGTGCGAGTCCCGCAGGGTTCTTTAAGGTCTAGTGCTTGGGGTTTGGTGTTGAGGATTGAACGATTTTGGTTCAGAGGTCCCTAAACCCTAAAGCCCAAGCCCTAACCATTAAGTCACTAAGGCTTAACATTTAAGAGTCCCTGGGCATCACTGGAAACCCTGAACCCGAAGCTCAGATTAGGCACATCCGGAAAACCCTCCAAAGCCCAATCACAGCGGGCCATCTCAATGCCATGCCGACCCGAGAATTAAAGTAGGTTATTGCTGCAACCTCCCAACGCCTAAACCTCTCAAGTTCCAGCTAATTTGTCAATCTGCTGTGTAGCCTTCAGTGCTGAACCTTACACCCTAGTAGCCAATCGAACGAGGCCCAACAATGCGGACAGAAACGGGGCCTGTTGGCGAGGAGATGCCTTGCAAGCCCTGGCAACAGCCCCGGCTCGGCTGAGGGAGGACCGCTTGTTGGTCTTGGCAGCCGTGCAGGTGGGTCGAAGCAGGGTTTACGGCGTTTACGGGTTTGGGCTTGGGGTTTACGCTTTAGGGGTTCTGAGTAGTAGGGCTGTTAAGGCCTCGTGCTTTTACCGGAGGAGGGGGGTTAGCAGTCGGTGGTCTATCTACACTCTGGTCTTGAATGCAGGTGTTTGTGATGGCTTTCCGCTCGGCGACTTGTGTGTTGGATAGAGTTGAATAGGATGTACGAAGCTACAGGGCTTGGGATTTCGGTCTTCAGGCATTGGCCTTTATAGAGCCGTTCAAAGTACCCTTACCTTGGATCCTTTAACTAGAACCCATGACAGTAAGAGAACCCTTTGCAGAACCCTGTCTGGTGATATCTATTGCAGAACTCTTCTTACGAGCCCTTGTTGGTGCCTTTAGCAGAAGCCTGTCAACCCCTTGAAGGACCCTTCACGATCCCATAAATAGATGTCTCACGTAACCCTAAGCCTTCAATCCTAAGGCTTAAAACCCCAAACCCCTAAACCCAAAAATCCTAAACCCTAAAACCCTAACCCCTAACTTCGTAAACCCTAAACCCCTAAACCCCCTAGCTTCCTAAGCCCTAAACCCCCTAACCCTTAACTTCCGAAACCCTAAACCCTAAAACCCTAGACCTCTAGCTTCCTAAGCCCTAAGCAACAAGGCCTCTGCCAGGTGAACGGCTGGGCTTTGGACTCGGCGGCGGCGAAGCTCAAGCGCGACCGCGAGGCGCTGCTGTCCTTGCGTAGAATGGGTTTAGGGGTATAGGGTATAGGGTTTAGGGGTTTAGGGTTTAGGGTTTAGGGTCTCAAACCGTGAACTTCACATCCTAAGTCCAACCCTAAGCCCCTAAAGCCTAAACCCCAAAACCCTAGACTCCTGAAGACCCTTAAGCCCTAAAACCCGTGTTGGGTCTCTCACGGTCCCTGTGCAACAAAGGTAAGTTTAGGGTTTGGGGTCTGGGGTTGAGGTTAAGTTGAGGGCTTAGGGTGTAGGGTTCAGGGTTCAGGTGTTTGCTTACTGACGGGATGTTGAGCAGGAGTTTCTGGATCGTCAGTGGCTGAGTTGCCATAGCCCTAAGGCTCCAAGTACCACATAGTTATGTACTGCGCCAAGATACTAGGTCACATATTGTCTCCACGTGTCTTGTCACTGTGTCTTTTGGACCCTTATAGTACTGACCGCTCGCTTCTCCTGCTTTAGTTGTCGCTGGGACTTGTTTGCCTTTCGGAAAAGCCTCAACCCGATAAATCCCCAACCTAAAAAGCCCTAATCCTTCACTTATATAGGATTTAGGTTTAGGGTTTAGGGTTTGGCTTAGGGTTTAGGGTTATGGGGGTTTTGGGGCTATCAGGAGTTGGACTTCCCATACATCCTCTCAGACCTCGACCCTGAACCCTGCTCCACTTCAGGTGGTCATGGCAGCGGTGCGACAGAGCCACTGAGCTTTACAGCAATACAAAAGCCTAAATAACTACTAATATTATTCCTTCGGGTTCCTTGTTGCAACTATATTACCAGGGAGCCCAAAACCCTATCCTAATAATTAACGCCCCTACATTAGTCCTGGCAGGCTGAGTCTATATAGCGCCAGCACGTGGTAGGCTTTTTCCAATACAAGAGCACAGGTATATATATATATATATAATTCTGTATCAATATTAGCACCAATATTAGACTTCAAGGCAAAAGGCAATCGCATTTTTGAGGAAAACTGGCAGTGGAAATAGCAGCCTTAAGAGAGGTGCTGCATCCCCGTGCTGCGGGGAGAAGCATTGCGTTTCATGACCAGGTTTTGGGGGGTCGGGGCTTTGCCCACTCCACGGGAGTGCCACACTGATTGCCTCAGAGACGCTTGTTTTGCAGGGCTGGGTCAGTCAGGACCTCCTAATAGCTTGCATGCTGTGATGAGGAGCTTGCTTCCGGATCGGTGCTATAAAGCATGCCTGAAGGAACATTCCAGCGACCGCTGTCTCCGGTGCACTTACAGTACTGGAACCTTCATGTTGAAACCTGTGATTGTAGAAAGGATTTCCCGAGGGTTTTTTGCCTTACTGGGCTCAGTAGTTGGGCATCGGAGCCCAAAGCCAAGCTTCGGTTTAAAACACATATCTGGGTGTTTAGGGTTTAGCGTTTAGGCTTTTACTATTAACTGACGATGGCTCACCTCATGAACCTATGAATGCGCTCGGTATATGAATGCGATGACAGTTCAAACGACAGTCATTGCGCTCATTACGCTTTGGGGCACAAGAACCCCGACCATAAACCCTAAACCCCAATCCTAAACCTTAAAACCCTAAACCCTAAACCCATCGGACGATCTCGAGCGCATAGCCGTATAGCCTCGAAGTCTCCACAACTGCGTGCTCCAAGCCATGCAGGTGACTCAGATGCCGGCTTTCGTTCCAGGGCTTCCCGGAGTTCCGTCCATGATGCCAGTGGTTCTGCAGCCTGCGTTGCCGATGCCCGCGATGCTCTCTGCCGTGTGTGCGATTCCGGTGGTGATGGTTGGTTTGCCTGTTCAGCAGATGGAGAGCCAAATCCCCCCTCGTGAGCTCTCACCGGTCGGGTGTGGGGTTTCGGATGATGTGGCGGCAGCTACTGCATTCAGTGAGCCGGCGTCAGACGATTCTTCAAGCACCACGTCCGACTTCTCGGAATCGCCTGTGCTGGGCAAGGTCTGGCAGCTGTCGCAGAGGCAGAAGGGTTGCAGGAAGGTTCAGGAGGCCGTGGATCAGGCTTGTAACGAGCTGAGGAAGCAGATTGCGCAGGAGCTTTCCGGACATGTCGTGGCCGCAGCCCTGTCGCCCAATGCCAACCATGTCTTGCAACGTCTGGTGGCCACGCTCAGACCGCAGGACTGCCAGCCACTCATTGATGAGCTCCTGCAGGCCGGGGCGGCAACAGTCCTGGAGGTTGCCCGCCATCAGTATGGATGCCGAGTGATTCAGCGTTTGCTTGAACACTGTCAACAGGAGCAGATGGAGGCAGTGGCAAACATCTTGATGTCCGATGCCCTTCCTCTGGCACGTCATGCCTACGGAAGCTTTGTCATGCAGCAACTCCTGCGATACGGCTCCCCTGCGCAGCAGCACAATCTCTGTCAATCATTCAAGGCCAGCATCCAGGAGCTTCTCTCCCACCAGGCGGCCTCTCCCGTCATTGCGAAGGCACTCGTCCATTCGTCGCCAGAAGACCGGGTGAGCCTGGCTCGAGCGGCTGTGGGCCGGCACCTTGCCGATGTGGCCATCACGAGGTACGGCCACGAAGCCGTGCAGAGGGTGCTGCAGGTGCTCGTTGGAGAGGACTTCAACGCAGCATGCGCGGCGCTTCGGCCACGTCTGGCGGCGCTTTGGGCCGCGCGCTACGGCCGTCTTGTGGTCAAGTCTGTACCGGAGCTTCACCGACTCTGTGCGGGCATGACCCGCTCGGAGGCATTGGCAAGTGCTTGAATGTGCTTGCGATCGGATGCTCTCGAGTCATTCGCTTGCGGCCCCTTTCTTCATCTGATTTGCTGTAAGTTCGAGCATTCCCCTCTGGGGATATGAAGTATGTAGGGTTCTAGTAAATTCTAGTCGATTCTAGTCGATTAATACCCACAAAGGGTATCATGTGGTGTAACTCACGATCATGCAGTGAGAACTCGCAGCAAAACACCCCGACCGACAGCCCCCCAGTAAAGTTCGTGTCCTGGCCTGTAATGGTCAGAATTCGACGCAGGCTTCGACGGAGTCCGCCAAACGGAACTTGTGTGCCAAAGACTGTGTAGTTGTCTAGGCTGCGATTAGCAGCATGTCTTTGGCCCTTTGCATGCACGCCAACAATTCCTGGGCAGTTGGCTCGTGTTACCAAACGGTCCCTGCCAGTGCCAACAGGTCACGGCATTTCGATCGGCTCGATATTGTCGGATGGTACAAATCGGCTGAGAGATTTTGGGCCGACCCTGCCAGACCCCCCGCCAGGGCCCCGCCATTCCGAAAGCTTCCGGCTTTGTTGGATTGTACAAGCCCCCAAGCAGTTGTAAAGACGGTGGCGACGCTCTGCAACGCTTCAAAAGTGCCGGTGAGGGAGTTCATAGCTGACCTGCCGAGCGGGGCTGTAGGCCCTGCGAGGGCGTAGTCTGCGATGTCAGGGTGCAGGTTTTGTATTTTGTCGTTGAGGTGTAGTGGGTGTTGATATGCTGGGCTGCATAATGGCCCGCTGCTCTGAGGCTGTTGGCTCGGGACTCGTTTTGCTGGAATCCGTACCTGCTTGTGCGAGTGTGTGAGTCGAAACCCTAAACCTGAGAATGGACCAAGGCGGCTTAGCCTTGCAGTTTGCCCATCGCCGCCGGAAAAGTGACTTGGGCGTGGTCCTCGCCGCGGTGGAGGCGACTGAGAGCTCTTGGCTTGGAGGGCCGGGAGGGTTGGGCAATGGACGGTTAAGGGTTGAAAGTGAGGTAAACCCTAAACCCTAAACCTAAACCTGTATGAGGTATACATTATGCCAGAGTTATTAGGGTCTGTTGGGCTTTTTACGCCGGGCTTAGGGAGTTTTCGGGAGGTCTTCTTGGATCTCGGGATTTAGAGAGTTTTGGGTTTAGGGTTTTTATAACGGTTTATTCATTAGGGTTTAGGGTTTAGGATCTAGGGGTTTAGATAGTCTTGTAACAGCGATTTTTTTCCCCACCAGGGTTTCGCGCACGAAGTTAGCGTTGCCAGTGCCTTCATGCCTCTGGGGTAGTGCACGGGGCACTCCCCTGGCTGCCCTCTCAGAGCGAGTGCCCTCGTAGGTAAACTTCGGCCTCCCTCCCTTGCAGCATCCGATGCTTGCATTGAAAATCTCGTATCGCCACACGGCGTGATCTCGCAGGGTTACTCAGGGTTTAGAGTTTAGGGTTTAGGGTCCTCTTACATGAGCGTCTGCGTCGTTGTATGCTCCATTGATTTGCCTTTCCGCCGGATGTGCGCCCGCTCGATCAGTGGCATTCTTTGGGTCAAAGACCTATCAAGTGCGCACCCCAAATCCTCAACCCTAGACCCTACATCCTTGTCCCCTGAACCCGAAGCCCATATCTCCCGTCTCCCACACATTTTTTCCGAACCCTAAGCCCTTTCCCTGAACCCTATACCCTAAACCCTAAAACCCTAAACCTCGAACCCTAAACCCTAAAACCCTAAACCCTAAACCCTAAAACCCTAAAACCCTAAACCCTATTCCGAACCCGGAGCCCTAAAGCCCGAAAGCCCTAAAACCCTAAACCCTAAGCCCCAGACCCCTCGAACCCGGAGCCCGGTCCTTGGAGGAGAACGGCTCGGCGCTCGAGTTCGCAGCACCGGAGCTGAGGGGTGACCCGGAGGTTCGGGCCCAGTTCCTGCTTTCCAGTTCGGGCTTAGGGTTCAGGGTTTA